GTAGTGGAAAATTCTTCGGTTGGAAAAAGGCTCCGCAAGCCGCGTTTCTCTGAAATTTCTACGTTGTACCTTGGCACTGACATGCAGAGCAACAATGAGCTTGATGAGTTTTTGGAGCTTAGCTTTTTGGAAGAGTATTGCAGGAATCAAAGATTGCTACTTATGCCACAGAATCATGATTTTTGACACAAGGCCTCTCCACAGCACTCTTCCAGGATCTTTACTGTACTGCAGCTTACACCAATTTAGAATGAAAACTAACACTTTTCATTTCGTTATTGGAAACCAAAGTGAGCCGAGTAAAGCTGTGAATCGTCCATTTGACTATATATATACTCGCGAAAACGGGAATGCCATGATAAACGGCATTTCTCATGAACTCTTTGTAACGCCTAATATGTTTGGTCAAAGTCTTCCAAATGAAGAGCTTTGCAACTATCCCGTGGTTTTCTTGCTTTTGGAAAGACCAACAACCAGAAAGAATGTCAATTTAATGGCGGATCTCGTAAAAGAGGTGTCTTATGCAAATGTTGGTCCTTCGAGGAGAATTTTTCTCAGCGATAGTACAAAAGTACTGACAAGACCAGATCTGATGACAGTAATGTTCGCTAAACAGAAACACCAGGATGACGAAGTATAACTCATTTATTTCTCGGATGTTTCAAGCATTTGCTGCACATAAGATACGACCTAGCATGGTTGCAGTAGATGTGAATCTGGCTACTCGCGATTTGCCCAGAGGAAGATCCATTTTCCCTGAAAACGAGGATGAATCTTATAGACGTACACATATATCTATGTACTGGAAATTATCTACGTATACTCCTGGCCGTGAAAACGACTGTTCAGCACTTACATATTTACGAACCTTTGACGAAGACAAGGGATACCTACCTAATATACGTATTTATCAGTACCCAGAACGTGTCCAGGAAGAAATGCAGCCGGAATAGGATATCGAGGTACAAGCAGAGGAAGAAGTGCCAGAGGAGGAAGAGGAGCCAATGCAGGTAGAAGAGGGAGAGGAGCAGATACAGGAAGAGCGAGGTGAACTTGCGCAAGAGCGAGTGGTATCAGTAAGAGGACATGGGTTGCCAGCTGATGTACAAGAAGATGGCGGTGGAGAAGTAGTACCTGTTCAAGAGCCAACATTATATTTTCTTTCTCGTATCAGAAGAAAAGGAATTTGATGGACTGGGTTCAATACCTCTTCCAACAGGCAGTAAGCAATGAGAAGCGTCATCATCAGGATGGTAAAAATGAAGCTAGGAGAGCTATTGATTACGAGACAAAAAGAAGGAGCAATTTCCTCCACCGTTACTACGATATGCTGGTGAACTTGAAGAATTTTGATGGTGCTGAGGGAAAAAAATTTCTGAATGCCCTAATGAATCCCCATTTCAAGTACTTCAGACCAATTTTTAAGGAATGGAGGAATGGGAAACGCGTGCTGAAGGCTCGATGTGAGCCATGCTACGAGTACTATGCGAGCAGAGACGCCCAATCCTCTTCTTATGGAATTTCCCAGAAGGGTGGAACTGATTTTACACTGAAGATACAGTGTTAAGGAAACACATACGAGTCA